GCGACACGCCGTCGCCGCTGTCCTGTGTGAATGGCACCCTGCCTAGAAAATCTAGGCGGCACGGGCATGTAATAGCATTTCTGAATCCAGCCAACTACGCGAATCGGGAAGTAATTCCAAATCAACGCCATTTCAACTCCACCGGAGGCTTCACAAAGAAAGCCCCATCAAGTATGCGGGGCCCCTTGGAGGCAGGATCCGAATGTCTGGAGCGCATGTCTGGGGACCCAAATTTTCCCGGCCAATTTCAAAAAAAAACAAACGCCGAATCCTGGCTGTTCCCGCGAATGCTTGGTGCCTGATAGATGTTCATGCTTGAGAGCTGCTCATGGTAGCTTGACAGCATAAACACCGGAATTTCCTTACAGGAAAAATCCTTGTTGTTGTCCTTCAATCAAATATCGCTTGAACTCCAAAACAACTCACCCTGCTGCTTTTTCTGGCTCTGCGCTAGGATACGGAAAGTCGGAATGTCAAAGCATACCAGGATCAGAAATCAACATAAGGATTAGGAAAGTAGCTAGAGTCCCAGAATTGCTTCGGACTTCCTACTTTGAACATGACCTCTTCTCTCTCCTTTCACAAGCAACCGCTATGAACGCCATGCAACGAAAACCCACAAGTACGCATGGCAATATGTGCAGCATGGTCCATGACGATGCCGGTGGTTCGTCCGGAGGCGTAAAGAGACAACACTGCCTGGATGGCCACGTACATGGCAGGGACCTGTGCAATGATTCAGGGTCCTAGCACAGGTTTTCGGGCTCTTGGCCTAGGGTCAGATCGGAGGCTTTAGTATAAGGGGTTCGCTGGATAGGGTCAGGTATTGGGGCATTATGAAGGAGTGATCAGCAGAGACAACGGGACAGGATGAGATTGAGTATGATCTTGCTGTGGCCATTAGACTTTGATTTACCACAGGTGTCTTTTTCTTCTGGAGCCTGCAATGAGGATCCTGGTGACATGAATATAAAGGGCGGGCCCGGAACTGGACGTCTGTTCTTCGAATTATTTGATGGGTTCGAAGATGCGCGTTGTTGAGGCAGCCAGGTTAGGGAGCTCGCGTTGCACTTTGCCACTTCTTTAAGTGCTTTTATTGCTTGTTGCAAGACCTTGCGTTAGGGATTTCTCAAAGTAGAATACCAGGCTTAAGGAGATTAAATGGACTTGTGTGTGTCATGTGGCGGTTCTAGATCATCTGGAATTCATTTTGACCAATTTCAAATCAACAGCTGTTAAGAGAATTCAGGCTGCTGGGCCTGTTGAGGAATGAAATTACAGTCCCACTTAATTACACTCCCACTTTGCATGGGAATCACTATCCGTAGTGTCTAGTTAACATTACGCCTGAGAGTCCTTGTGTTGAGGCTCCTTTGTCAGATGGCTAGAGGGAATGCTTTCTATTGGGTAGCACGGCCCTAGATTCAATCTTTGTCTGCAACGTGCTGAACCCCTTGAGCCCTTTAGTCTCGGCAAACTTTTTGTGAGAGGCATTGTCAAGATTCACGCAAACCTCCTTGAACAGCCCCTACAATCAAGCTGGAAAACCCCATGCAATCATTATGCCCGTCCACTTGAACGATATTGGGGGAAATCACAAAAATGCATGTGACCTGAAACCCTGAACCCTGGAACTGAACCGCAAGCAGACTGAGGAACGTTGAAGGTCTCAAACATGATCTGCGTCATGCGCTCGCGGTTCGCCTGTGCGTTGCATCATCCCCCCCCCCTCTTTTCACGGCCTAGGCTTTGGGATTCACTAGCGGTGCTCAACAACTCCACCTCACTCCAGGAGATGTTGGGTGGTATTGGGCATGGGGTGCGGTTTGAGTTGCCCAACAAGCTCTGGTGAAACGTCTCTGCACCACTTGCAGCGTGAGGAAAAATAATTCCAGCCCTCTGATGCTGCGCATTCTTAAACCACCTCGAGACAGAGGTAGAGGAAGGTCCGGGCGAGAGATCTTGTTGGGACAGTCAGCCTGTGAGCAGCCCCTGATGGGGCTTCTGTATCACAATCCGGCACATGCAGGCCGTCAGTCAATATGCATGAAGGAAAATCATGAAAGCCCAGTCCAAATGCAATTCCCATATCAAAGAGTTTGGCGAAAGTTGTCAGCATCATGCCCCTAAACTTCCCAAACGCTGCACCTGACCCATGTATCAGCGAGCCTTGGGGTTCAGTGGAGCTTCCGTGAGTAGCACTGGGTGCTCCTCCGGGGCGACGCGCAGCTCGTTGTAGAAGGTGTGGTGCCAGATCTTCTCCTTACGAGCTACACAGGACAGCTGCTGCTGCAGGCATCATAATCAAGCCCATAATAAAGCTGTTCATACTTCTTCAGGAGCTTCCTGATCGAAACATAGGGACTGTGTTGCGATTAAAATACGCACTGTCTGCTTGCAGGACACATGCAGATTGGAAAACAAGGACCCCGCCAAGCCCAGGAAATCTGCCTTAGAGGTTCCGTTAGCCTGACTTCGCCATCATCCTGAACCCCAAGCCCTTACATCTCCAAACCTCAATCCCTTACCCAAAATTACGAAAAGGACTGAATCCCTGAACCCCTGCATCAACACATACATCCAGTCAAAGTGCCATGTCATCCCAGTTGGTGACGATACCGTGCTCAATGGGGTACTTCAGGGTCAGCACACCTGGAGGGATAGAGGAGTTTGCTTACTGGGGGTTAGTAGGGAATGAGGGAATATAGGGTAATGATATGGGGATTTCATAGGCTTATCGGTATCGGTACTGGTCATGGATTCGGTGCTCCGCTGATCTCGAAAAAGCCGAACCTTAAACTCCTCCCTCGGGCCCTAAATCCGACATGCTAGACCAATGATGCCTACCCCACCCTGGCCCTGCGCCCCAGAACCCAGGCACTAAAACTTCGAGATATAACCCCTATACACTATAGTAGTTTCCATTTTATTTTCCATTACCCTATATGACCCCAGTTTAACCCCCATAGAACCCCCAAAATAGTCCCTATATAATGTCCGTTCGCTGCCAATTGTGCGGTGCACCTCGCTTGCTCTGCGCTTCGTCGCCCACATACGAGTCCTGAAGACGTTCAGCGAGTGCAAGCGGTATGTGGGGGTTTCCGAAAATTAGGGATACCCTTTTTGGGGCCCTAATAATAAGGATTATACTATTTGCGGGTCTATATTGGGGTCCCCCTATTTAGGGAAACTACCGTGTCCTAGCTAAAAGAGCATGGGTCTGTTTCTCGCTGCCCAAAAAAACTTGCAGTCAAGCTACCTGCATAGATAGGGTGGCGCCCCCTAAACCCTAAACCCTAAACCCTTAGGTTTCATGGTAGAGCCCCAACAACTTGATAGATCCCCCAGATGCTCTCCAAAGCACCCTTCCAGTGCCTTTAATTAGGAAGCACGCGTGTCTGCATGCAACGCTTGCAGGCCAATACCTCGAATCATCTCAAACTCACACTTCATAAACCCAGCTGTTTGGAGCCTTTCAGTCTGTAAGCTGTTTGCTGTAGCATGCTCTAGTAAAGTGTAGAACCTCAAACCCCGAAACTCTGAAACCCAAAGCCTTCCGTATCCCCCTCTGCGTCCTTCTGGTCCATGCCCACCATGATGCCTGGCATCTTGGGGCGGCCGACGATGGAGGGGAAGACCGCCCGCGGAGCGTCGTCGCCCGCGAAGCCGGCCTTGCACATGCCGCTGCCGTTGTCCACCACCAACGCGGCAACCTGGCAACACCCATGCAAAGGCCCTGCATCTCTGATCCAAGGAAGATACAGCAAGGGTGGCTACGGTGATAAGTAACAAGGGTCTGAGTGAGAGAACCGTGCTCAAAGCAATCCTCAGGCCCCACTTGCATGAACTACGATCAAAACTCTGAACGCATGAGCTAATTAGCACTCAAATTATACCTTCCAGAAGATGTTGTCCCACGCGAGCTGCTCTCGTTCGCATGAGGCAGTATCGAGAACAGCTGCAAACAACGGGGTCATTTCGCAATCCTTTGGTGGAGATGTGGCAAGTGGGCCTGGAGCCTGGAGCCCAGGATTCAATAGTCTGACTCACCTAAGCTCCTGAACTCTGCACACCTCAACCCTTGAACGTTTCAACTGCTATACCCTAAACCCTGAACCCCCGAAACCTCCAAAACCAGGACTGCTTTGCCTCTCTCCTGAACCTACAGACCCGCTACAGTACTTCAGACCTTAAACCTTACTCCCTGCCTCCTCGTCACCCATGGCTACAGATCGGAGAAGCTGAAAGGGCACTACCAAAGCTTGTCCAACTTGATCCAACTCAGAGGACGGCAACAGCTTGGTCCCAGAATGTAAATTTAGGGTTAAAGATTTTCGGATTCATGCAATGGGAAGATGAGCTCCGCTGTAGCTTCTGGGCTGCGAATTCCTTAGCTCTGGTTAGCCAGGAATAAAGGAACGGATCCCTACAGTAATCGCTAAAGTATCCTTCATTCCCTGCTTAACCACAGCCATGACAGTGGACCTGTTCTTTTGGACCCTCCAATGTCGTAACCCTGTCTGCGAACTACACACCAGCCATTTGAACCTCCTTATGGACTGCTATTCGAAGGGGGTGAGTTGTAGTGTAACCCCTCAAGCCCAATGCAGGGTACATCTATGTCGCACGTTTTGCAGCTACATGTAGCATCATGTAGCTACACATGCACGTTTAGGTGGAGCTAATTGGGGGAAGGTATGGTGAGATAAGGTGATAACCCTCTGCAGGATTCAGCGCCCTCCTGAGACCAGCATAGACTTTCATGAGGATGCCTAGGTAAGGCTTGCAATGCTTATGCGGAGCTACATCGGCTGGAGCTGCAGGCGGGAAGGTTTGCAGTATTCAAAAAGGTTTAGAGACCAGACATCATGGAAACTTGCTTGATGCGCAAGACTGATGCAGTGCAGGTTGTACAGAACTCCTAAATCTTTGGTCTCCGTGATCCTCCAGCAGGACGGGGGGTCACCTTGAGGAGGGGTGCAGACCTGCGATAATGAATCAAAATCTAGCGACTCTAGCTGACACAGTAAGATTTAATGCTATATGATCAAATATGATCTGGATTCAGTAAGTAACTCTCGGAATCCCTGATATATGTGCGGATATTCGGGGCCTCAAGTCTAATGGGGACTCCAAAAAGCAATAGCTTCAACAACAGCGCATATATTCTACATGGACTCTACTTATATTGCATCGCGAAGTATTGACTACAGTAGCGTCTTTGCTAATCTGTGCTGTTGCTGGGTCCTGATGTCCACATGCCGCTTGCAGCTTGAGAATACGGGGCTAAGCTGAAGGCTGATTGTTGAAGACCTAAAACCCTTGCTGAGTCACGATCCACGCGGGGTATGACTCGCAATTCCCAATGAAGTGGAACAACGTTGAAAAACTGCATGGCGCTCAGTCCAGAAATCACGCTCCAGGTACATTATCAGCTAACAGGACAAGCCCGACACAGACCCAAGCCCACGCCGCCTGGTAAGCTGACCTCCTCTCCAGAAACCCTTCCTCCCTTCTAGACCCCAAACCCTGAACTGCTGATTGCCTGAAACCCTAAGGCAACCCTGAAGGCCAAAATTTACAAAAACTGTGGCACGGCGCCTTGAGCACCGTGAGAAGCAGAAGGAGGTCCCCTCGGTCCATCTTTGCGAGGGTGGTCACCTCGATAATATGTTCTCGAATTTTAGGATTAGTTAAGTTTAAAAGGTTCCTGGTTCGGTGAGCGAGGTCTTGCAAGAGGCCAGAAAATCTCCACGAAAGAAGTGCCCACAAGGTACGATCATCTGATATGGTCTTACAACACGTTGCATAGCTTGGTCGGTCTTCGCGTACTGGTGAAGCTACAGGGTCTGGGGAAGGGAGTGAGGTGATCACCAAGGCGGCGCCTAGTGACCTCTCAGTGACCTTTAGGGGGGATAATGGGTTCGACGTCGAACGTTTGAGGCTGTGGGTTGGGGGTAGGAGCAGCTGGGGTCTCTCCAAATTAGGACTAGATTTGGGAGTTTTCGGAAATTAGACTTCCCATTCTAGGGGTCCCAAAAAAGAGGCGTAATATATTGGGGTCTATGTTGGGGTCCCTTCAAACTACCATTTGGGCTCGGGGCGTGGAACACACTCAGGACCCCCCTCGCACGAGGGACCCTGGACAGCTTCGGAAAATCCATCCCTTGGCCTTCCTCAATTGGAGAGGCCCAAGATTCTGGACCATAGCAACAATCAAGTTGCCATATTGTGGATATATGGTTTGATAGGATTCTGGACGGCAGAATCTGAAAACCTAGCTGTCAGGTTGTAAGCTCTGCCGGTGGTTCAGCGTTGAGGATGCCTACCTTTTGACCAACCTCAGACACTAACAGACTTTCAGAATCCCTGCAAGAAGCCTTACCACGCCTGTAGCAGACTTTTCGTACATGGCTCTATGGATCGCTAATCGTAATTCATACCCGCGGAGCCTCAAAGTTCAACTTAAGCCCTCACGCCTCGAGGGCAGACAGGGAGTCATGGAAAGTGGTCCACAAATCCTTCAGTTAGCAGCTTCTCAAAGTCACGGACCCTACATTCCCAAACCCTCAAACAGAATCCTCCATCCTTTGGAAGCTAAACTCTCAACCACCTTCCCTCTCCACTAGGGTGTCTACCAGCTGCGTGTCCAGCGATTTAAACGGTCCGTCCTGGTTCCGAGCCTGCGAGGAACGTGTGTAGAGCTTCAGAGTTCAGGTGTGAGGTTTAGTGGCCACTGCACTTAAGGCTCACAGCCCAGAGTTTTGGCCTAAGTGAGCCCACCCACAGAGTCTTGAATCGCATCTCTGAGACCCTGCAGAAGCAGCATGGCAAGAATGACCTGCCCAAAATCCTGATCCCTCAATCCCCAGCCCCCCAAAAGAAAAAACTACATCCCAAATCCTAAATCGTCATAAAGCATCCTAAGCTTGTTCAAAGGGCTTGTTAAGGGCTTAGAGTTTAGAATGATGGGGATGGTATGGGGTGCTTCTCAGAATGGGGGTACCTGCAGGGACCTCGAGTGATAGAGGTCGCCTTGAGGAATTCAAGAGGGGCTTCTGAGAGAAAAGTGCATATATAGCAATACAAGGTCTAGGGTCCAGGGCATCAGGAAGATGATCTGAGGTATAATAGTGGCTCCTACATCCTAAACACTATCTTTTTGTTTTCCTTGGACCTTTTGACCTAGGCCTGTCCATTCTTGACTAGCTTCGTCTTTCTTCTGCTTTGCTGTGGTATCTCTTCCTCCCTGGCCAAGCCTACGGGGTTGCTGTTAAGGAACTTAATTCAAGTTACCATTTTAGGGGACCCATGTTATTTATGATATAGGTAACTTATAACAAGTATCTTAATGGCAACTCAGACTAATGCTCTGTCCATTACTACATCACGGCTCAAGTTTTCATGTTTGTGCCTGTCGTGACGTCATGACATCTCGACTCCTTGACCACCTTTCAGCCGGAATTCGCGACTCACGCACACCCCGAAGAATCCCTAAACCTTATCCTCAAATATAAATCCCCCCGAAACACCACTCCTGTTTTTTCAGGAAGCACAGAACTCTGACCTTCAACCCCAAACCCTAGGCCAACCCTGTAGTGTAGGGTGTAAGGCCTTTATCATCCCGAGAAAATGGCTCGTTTAGGATATACTGAAACCAGCAGGCCGGAGGCACAAAAGGGGTAAGTTGGGCGGATTAAGAAAGCTTGTCCGTCTGGGGGGTTTAGGTTTTAGGTTTTAGGTTTTAGGGTTCAGGGTTTAGGTTTTGAAGGACGTCTCGGCAAACTTCCAGCCAGGGAAAACGAGACTAAGTCCCAGTGGACCCTAGACGGCCCCAAGCCCATAGTCCTAGCCTATACCCCATGCCCTATTGCAATATAGTGGTTTCCATTTTATTTTCCAGTATCCTAGTGAAACCCCGATATATAATATGTACGGTATGATTCCTTTTTGAACCCTGAATAATCCCTGTGATCCCTATATAATGCCCTATAACCTCAGCTCTAACAGCCTAAACCGTTTTAAAGGCGAGTGGGCGACTACATCTCCAGAAAATAATCCGTAAATAGCCCCCTAGCTAAAAAACCCTGAGAAATGAAAAACTATAGTTTCCATTTGCGTTTCCACTATCCTTTTATAAGCCCCATATACTTAAAGTCCATGACGACCCCTTGAGCATCAGTAAGAAGCCCCGCAGGCCATGGTCATCATGTTCAGGAACTCCAAGAAGTCGATACTTCCGCTCCTGAGCGTGTTAGGGATGGGAATAAAGCTGAAGGGCCGGTTCAGGGGTTCAGGGGTTCACAGGTTTAGGGTTCAGGGTTAAGGGTTCAGAGTTCAGGGTTTAGGGTTCAGGGTTTCAGGGTTTAGGGCTCAGAGTTTAGAGTGTTTAGGGCTTGGGGTTTAGGGGTTCAGGGGTTCAAGGGTTCAGGGGTTGAGCGCTTGGGTTTTAAGAGTCACTGGGATACATTTTTTTGTGCCAATGGCCGTGGGGCTCCAAAGCTTTATACATTGAAGCTATGATCAGCTACTTTTTATTCAGAGCCTCAGAGTCCCCCACTTGGCGCATAGCTAGCAGTCGTGAACTCCAAGACTTATACCTGAGATTCCCACATCAAATCCGAAGCCCGACGCTCAACTCTGAAGGCCTAAACCTCAAGCCCTGCAACCCTAAACCCAAAACCCAAAACCCTAAAACCCTAGAACACTAAACCCCAAACCCTGAACCTCCGACTCCCCCGAGCCCCTCGCAAGTCAAAGTCGAAGACCCGGAAGGCTACCGCAGCGCAGGCCTCCCCGGTTACAGGGATTGTATCGGGGTTATATACTAATGGAAAAGAGAATGGACACTATAGGGATTAGGGACTAGGGATTATATAGGGGTATAATATTGGGATAATGGTAAAGAAATGGAAACCGTAGGGATTTTGGGGGCTATATAGGGATTGCAGGCATCATCTATAGATTGTATGAAGGGGTTATAGAGGGATGATGTACTGGGCTATCTGAGGGTTGCTCTTTGACTGCTTTCCCAAGGCAAGCCAACAACTGTGTCTGGGAACATCTTAAAGGATCATAAACCTGAACCCTAAACCCTAAACCAGCTTGCAGAACCATGTTAGTTGCGCGTAGGGTGCAGGGTGTAGGGTTTAAGGTTCAGGGTGGAGGGTTAGCTGGGTCAGTAGCAGAGCAGCAGCACATCGTGGCTTTTCAACTTAGATCC